CATGGCTCCAGCTGCATATATAGCATATATAGCAGAGCATGGCCTTATCTGGCATCAATGGGAGGGGAGGCCTTTGGTCATGTGATGCCCTAGGGTAGGGGAATGCTAGGGTAGTGAGGCAAGAGTGGGTGGGTGGAGCACCCTCATAGAAGCAGGGGGAAGGGGGATGGGATAGGGGGTTTTTGGAGGGGAAACCAGGAAAAGGGATAACATTTGAAATGTAAATAATGAAAATATCCTATAAAAGAAAAAAAAAAGCCTTTAGTACTTTGTATAAGGTTGAGGTTGGGTCATTTTGAGTCACACAGCTCACTGTTTTTAACTTTCATGTGTTTGCCTGCCTGCAGATTAATGTCAAATATCCTCAGGTGGAAGAGGTGGGATTTCTCTTGAGTATTTTAATCCACGTCTGCTTGTCATGATACCCTTGTTCATTTCGGGGTAGCAGGAATGAAGCTGGCGTAGCGTCACTTCTGCTGAAGTCTGTTGTCCAGCCAGGTGTCAGGAACACAGATCTAAGGGGGTATGGAAATAAGTTTCACAAGACTAGGTGACGCCTGTGTGAAGTGTGGTGTACTGATTGTTTTAACAGGAGCAGAGGAAGCACTAAACTGGTTTAGTGGAAGAAAGGAAAATGTGAGGATTGGTAGTGGAAAATGAAGATGGCTGGGAAGAAGGAGGAGTAGGCAGTGCAGAGACTTATGTCATTCCTAGAAACTCTAGGGGCAGACACCTGAGATTTTCAATAATCAAGAACACCACTGTAAGTTTGATTACTTTTTCCTAGTCTGAGAGAATAGCTATGAGCCAGATAGAAGCAATGGAAAGTGTTCATCCCCTGGGGTGGGGTGACTGGGGCAGTCTCCCACTCGACAGTAGACCCTTTTGAGTCAGGACAATGTTACAGTATTGGAGAAATATGATAGCTTTTCCCCTTGGCCAGAGAACTATCTTGTTCTTTGCCCTTTTAGCAGTGTCTAGTATGGGTTCCATCTCAAGCAATAGGACTTAAATCCACTGAGAAAGTGCTACCCAGCTTCTCCTGGCCATTGTACTCTCCCAGATCCCATGTGTGAGCAAGAAAACAATCCAGAAGCAGCTCACATGTGGTTTTTAAAATCTACTATTTCATGTGTTTAGAATTTTTAGAAGACACTCTTTTAGACTGAAGGTGGTTTGTGATGTTTAAAATGTGCTCTTCTAATTATCACATGTATGTTTTATTGAATATGTGAGTGTTTTGATTAACTTAGTATAAGCTCCAGAAAAAGACTTCATTGCTTTATACAAGAATTACAGAGTTGCAATTGAATACAATAAGAAGTAAAATTTTACTGTAAAATGAAAGGGGTTTGTTTTCAGAAAATCCTTTTGTTGCCTTTAGTAAGCCACTTTGAATCAGCATCCTATTACCCTTAAATCCCTTTATGATGTTTTTCTCTTCAGAAAACAAACAAAATAAGACAACAAACAAAAGAAAAAAATTGTCCTTTCTTTAGCTTTTGTGCCAAATAAGTGTGATTTATGGGTTCTCAGAGAATTCTTGTGATTCCTGACCCTGTGCACTGTGACTTGTGGGTTACTTTAAAAGGTCTCTTTGGTTTTCCCTGTGTCTTAGAGGTGTTACCAAATGCAGTATGGATATACCTGTTGCTTTTCCTTTTCAGGGTTGGTATTTCTGAAGGCATGAATACAAGGTATTTTGTACCAGTAATGGTCAAAACTCAGGAAGAGTGGGGATGAGTTGATTCTCAATCCATGTTACTAAATGATGGTTATAATGTTCCTCAAGATTTCCCTAGTCTATTATAGAAATATTCAGATACTATATACAAATACTATATATTACGTATATACCTTCAGTATCTTTGTAACAATTTCTCTTATAGTCATGCTCTCCTAAGGAATAGGACTGTGTTGAGTTTGTCTTATGTTGGTTTTGTGTGGAATGCACATTGTGTTTGTACTGGCTAGCGGGTATTTAAGGATATCTTTGAGTACATCCCAGGAATTTAGATCATGTATCTGCCACTTCTCTGAGTGCTTGCCTTCCACTTCCTCATTTTCTCCAGTGGTAGTAGAGAGAACTGGTAACTTTACCTCTCACCATTTATGTACTCAGCCAGGAATGGGCTTCTCCATAAGGTAAACTGGGATTTACTTATGTCAATCATAATGATCAAGTTCACTTCATAGATCCACTAAAAACAAATTTGTGAAGCAGTTCTAGCCAAAGACATTAAGAGAATGCTGATAAGTATCAGGGGAAACTTGTTTCCCTTTATCTTAAAGGGGAATGTGGGAGTTGTATTGCACCTCAGGGTGCTGTGTGCCTATGGATAACTAGAACAGTAACCATCCTGGGAGTTCATCAAAAGAACCAACTTAAGAGGAAAGCCAACATACTTTAGAAGGCAAAATAGAAAGATGTAAAAAACAGAGACTTTTGGACTATTGGATCTACTGGACTAGGGAGTGATTGTTCAGTTTCCCTTAATCTACTTGCAAGGGTCAATAGAGTAACGAATTTTGACATCTTAAGGTACTCAAAGTCCATGTGCTGAATAAATGTTTTAAAAGCAATAGATTACAATGGCATCAATTATCTATTCCTTCTTTCTGTACCATTTAGCTATGCTGGCCCCAGGTTAGAAGACTCTTTGCTCTAGTTCTGAGAAAATGGATGCAATTGACAACCATTCCTTGTGGGCTAATAAGGATGCTTAAGGAGAGCTCTTCTGTTTCTGTGTTAGGAAAAACTGGAAGTGGAGGAACATTCTGAGAGCATCTTACTTAACAGATATATTGATAATTACAAAAGCATACTGTGTGGCAAGAGCTTAGAATTTATTGTTTCTCAGGGATGAGCAACTCTGAAGAAACGTCTCCTCTCCTAAGACTACCATTAGCACAGGGCTTTCTAACCTTTGTGACATTTTGAGTTATGTGGCTCTAAGTCACTAAGGGGACACTGTCAGCATTTGATGATGTTTAGTTGTATCTTTGGCTTTTAGCCATGATATGCCAGTAACATTCTCCCGTTAATGTGATAATTTTAAAGAGTCTCTAAAAATAAAAGGCCCTCAAAAGGCAAAATTACATCTGTTTCAGAGCCACTGTTAGTTGTAGGAAGCATTTTGTACTAGGACTATTGCAGAGGCAAAGGAACGTTTCAACCAACATGGCCTTAGTTAATTTATGTTGTACCAAGAAGAATTCAGTGATCCTATAAGTTTTTAAACATTGTTCCCTTCAACCAAACAAGGAAACTCTTAGTTTGGGCCATGCATGTTTTGCTATTTAAACTTTTCACCCTTCCAAAACCAGCAAAAGATTCTGGATGTGTTTGAACAAGACGATATTTGTAGCCCTTGAAAGACAGAGGCAGGAGGATTAGGAGTTCAAGGTTGTCATTGACTGCTTCTAAGGTTTGAGTCCATCTGAATAATCTATCTAAAAAACAACAAACCCTGAAAAAAATATAAAAGACAACTCACCTTCCAAAACAAGTAACCCAAGTAATATTAAAGTTCTTGGCCAGTTCTTACTTTTTCACTGTTAACAGAATCAAACACTAGTTCATACTCTGAACATGGACAACTCCACCTGTGACGATGGTTTGGATGCAAACTGAACCACCCATAGATACAATTAATTGTAGTAAGTGAGAATGTAATTAATATTCATCTTGCAAACAAATATTAACTAAAGAATTATGGTCCCATAAGTATAAAGGATGCTTTTGTCAAAAACTTATGCTCTCCTGAGTTGCCTGCGTTTTCAGTAGCACAGCCTGTTCTGTGCATGAGCCTCATAAGCAAACAAGGTCTTTTCTTTCCCTGTCCTCAAGGCTTTGCAGCCCACCACACAGAAGCTCTCCTATACCTAGGAGATAAATGTTTGAATGAGTATTGCCAATGTATTATCTGTGCAAAGATTTTAGGCAAGGATTCAAAGTAAAAACAAGAGTTGAAGAGACCCCAGACTGGCAGTATGCTTCTCATGTCCTGGGTCATGATTCAAAGTCCTCAGGATAGCACATGAGCTACCAAGCACACTAATAGCTTTTTGCCTTTCCTCCTTCACTACTCTTTCCTTTACCTCCAGTCTTGTTACTTTGCTTTGGCAATTCGAGGTCATTTTACATGTATCAGCCTATCAGTTTCTTAGAGAAGTTTATCTTGAGCCTCTAAGAATGGTCTCCATTCCATGTTGTCTTTTTCTCTATACTTGGCACTTTCTGTTCACAGTTCATGCAATCATTCATATCTTTTATTTGCTTCAAATTTACTCTTAATGTATGATAGTAGGCTCATGATGGGTTTTTTTACAGTATGTCTTTTCAACATTATTATTTGCTTAGCACATAGTAGGTATTTTAGTAACAGACTCAATGAACAAAGATACATTTGCCTTGTGGAGTGGGTCTGTATCAGAAAAAAAATTATTTCCTTATTTCTTATGTTAAATCTTCAGGCTTGGCATTTAATGCCAGAAGACAGTTGGAGTGATTTATTCCCACTGTCCATGGAGTGACCAACTGGGCAGTATAGAAGCATTAAGAAAGCAAGCACATGGCCAGAAACATTCATTAATGTGAATGAATAGTTTGTAAAAGGTTTAAGATATTTTTCAGTATGTCCATATATAAAAAACAAAACTCAACTTATGCTAATCTTAATGTTTACCACATTTATTTATTAATTTTGAGTGTGTTCAAAGTTAAATGTTTGTACTTGTGCATGTATATGTATATATGATATAAAATATTGACATGTAATCTCATGTGAAGACATGAACACATATGTATGAATGCATACCTCTTGACTTATTGCTTAGTAGCCCTTTGACCAATAGGATTTCAGTATGCATTGTACTAATAGAAACTTCTGGATTGGCTTAGCAACCTCTGATGTCACAATTTACCCATTAGGAAGTCATAAATTTCTTGAAATCACATTGAAGTAATATCTACCATCTCTTGAATTTTCCTTATAAGAAAGATAAAGTACCAAGAGTAAAAATGGTGGAATGAGTAAGGTATCTTTCACCTTGGAAGACCTTCTTGATTTATTTAGTAATCTGCTCTCAACAGCTCCAGCTAGCTCCTTTGCCTCCTTTTACAGCAGATATTACTTTGTTTTTCATGTCTATCAGTTAATGGAGGAATGGACCCACTTGGACGTACTCCTTCAGTTCATAGGTCTGTATCATCTCGGCTGTTGAGACTTAGTGTCTTTCTACTACTTAGCCTCCCTGACTCCAAAGGAAAAGCAATATGGACTGCTCATCTGAATATCACATTCCAGGTGGGAAACCAGATCATATCAGAGCTAGGAGAGAGTGGAGTGTTTGGGAACCATTCTCCTCTGGAAAGGGTGTCTGGTGCCGTGGTACTTCCTGAAGGATGGAATCAGAATGCTTGCAGTCCCCTGACCAACTTCAGCAGACCTGATCAGACAGACTCTTGGCTGGCCCTCATCGAACGGGGAGGCTGTACTTTTACTCATAAAATCAATGTGGCAGCAGAGAAGGGAGCACACGGGGTGATCATCTATAACTATCCGGGTACAGGCAACAAGGTATTTCCCATGTCTCACCAGGGAACAGAGAATATAGTTGCAGTGATGATCGGCAACCTCAAGGGCATGGAGCTCTTGCACTTGATCCACCAAGGTGTCTATGTGACAGTCATCATTGAAGTGGGGCGAATGCATATGCCATGGCTCAGCCACTATGTTATGTCTCTGTTTACCTTCCTGGCAGCCACTGTCACCTACCTTTTCCTGTACTGTGCCTGGCGACCCCGAGCGCCCAGTTCTTCCACCAGGAGGCAAAGACAGATAAAGGCCAATGTGAAGAAAACTATTGGTCAGCTGCAACTTCGAGTACTCAAGGAAGGGGATAAGGAGCTAGACCCAAATGAAGACAGCTGCGTTGTTTGTTTTGATATCTACAAAGCCCATGATGTAATTCGTATTTTAACTTGCAAACATTTTTTCCACAAGACGTGCATTGATCCCTGGCTTTTAGCCCACAGGACGTGCCCCATGTGCAAGTGCGACATTCTGAAACCTTAAGAAGCCTAGAGATCTTTCCACAGGTTAAAAGTAGACAAATTTCCTCACTGTACTGTACATCTAGAGAAAGCATGACCCTTTGTTCCTCTGTCCTGCCACTGAAGATGAAATTTGTCTGCTTTGACAATAAAGCTCCATAGCGTGCCCATGAACTGTTGTCTTTTTAGTCATTTTGTTAGACATTGTTGTCTTTCTCCAAGTAAAGAAATTGGTAAATGTTAAAAACAATACACATCTTAATCACCAGCTTATTCAGATTAAGGTACTAATCTGGTGGTGATTTCTGGACAGTTTTAAAGTTTTCTTTTAACCTATTTATCCGTGTGTGTGGGGGGGTTGTTTTAATACTTCATCTAATTTTTATATTCCTAACAGTTGACAGCTCTGTTTAATACACATCACTATAGAATTAGATTCTGATTTATATTGTCATGGTTAATTAATTGTATTAATAGCCAGAAAATCTGATTTCCAAGCTGTGGATTGAACAGGTGCTTTGTTCTAATTACTTTAGCGGATAGCATATGTAATAAAAGTTTTAAAGTGTCTCAGGCCTCATTTAGAGCAGTGTTGAAAAAGTTCACCTGTTTGCCAGAGGTCTTTTAAATCCTGGCCCAGTGAATCCGCCATGGGGGCAGTTTCTTTTAGAAGTGTCCTCTAGGGTCTGCCAGAGTGTAGAAAGTATCACTAGGGCCTTTGACAAGAGAGCAGAGCTAAACATTATGTTTGGTTTCCATCCCAATAATATGTATAACTCATTTCTCTTACCTCCCTGTCTGGTGGGTGGAAAAACACCTGTGTATTACTGAAAAGCTGAAAGACAAGGTATGTGATTTTGGTGAAAAATCTCAGTCTTGGATGTTCACTGTCGATGGCATGTGCTGAGTCTGTGGAAGATGACACACTTTTTTTGCACTTTCTCCATGGACTTGTATATAAACAAAGTCAGTAATTGTTTCTGTAAGAGAAGTCAACCACTGTGGACTCAAAGTTTCACACTAATAATCTTTCTGATTTATGCCACTCTTTTTGAACCTTTTAATTGATTAGCTTTTTTAACTTGACATTTTTGGGCATGTATATAGTGCATTGATTAATGTTTCTATGACACCCATATCCTTCTTATCCTATAAATCTCCACTTCACATCACTACTAATCCTTTTGGGTTATGACATATACAGTGTGACCAGGACTATTTGGGTAACTATTAGATAAGAACGACCCTCTGGGGCCTCGTGCATTCATCAGTGTGTTTGTAACTGAAGCCAATGTTTCCCCTTTCCCCTGAATTCATCAGTAAGAAATAGTTCTGCAGTGGGGAGTAGGATTCTCTGAGGCTCCCCTCCAGCTCTGCTTTACTGTTGATGTGACAATTCTTGTGCACACCCATTGCCAACATCCATCATTTCAATGGCATGGCTTGCCCAGGAGATAGTATTTTGACGTTTTTCTCCCTCTCTTTCATTTTATATTTTTTCTGCCCTCTCTTCCACATTGTTTCCTGAGACTTAGCAGAGCTGTCATAAATTTCTTATTTGAGGATGAACACTTAGTTTCAACACTCCTTATAGCCAAGACACTTTTAATTCACCACTGTTCACTAAAAACAGAGCCTTCTCTGATTGAGACTATGAACAGTAGATAGCTTTGGATATAAACAATATTTAAATGACAGCTTACCCATAACCAACTTCATAAAACAGAAGAAGTGTTATATCCAGTTCCTTTCCCAGACGGCGTTTTTCACCAGGGTTACAGTGCCAGACACAGATTACCTCCAATGTAGTGGTGTTAAATCCAATCATAGCTGTTGGTGCTTAATAGTCACGTTACTATTGCATATTAGTATATCTGGCCTGGCAGACTAGTTTTGTAAATCACAGGACTCACAACTGGGTAAGATCATTGATGTCCCTTCTCTCCCAGCAGCCTGCATAGCACCTTCCAATACTTAGAAAACTAGCTGCAAGGAGACAGTATCTACCTCAGTTCCAGATTGATTTCTCTATCATGAATCCAACGTGTGTGCCGTCTTCAATAATAAGATCTTATCATCTAATTCTAGCTGACAGCCAGGAGGGTTGGCAGAAGTCTATCTTGGTTTGGGACCTTCCTTGACAAACACCTTATATACCAATTTTTGTTCTGTCTGTAGAACTTTCTTCACTCCTGCCTGAAGTTGTTGCTTCATAAACTATAAAAAGTACCTGTTTACTTAGTCCTAGTGAGTCCAGTTTAAAATGACTTGGTTTTGAACCCTGTATATAGAGGCGAAAAAATGTTTACGTTCAAGGTGCAAGCCATTAGCTTTGGCTTTTTAGTTAGTAAAGTGGAAACATTGTGATGCCTACCGAGAATGTATACACGAACATTTGTTACTGGCCAAGTTTGTTAATTCATTAGTTTCAGAGTTATTTAAAGCCATTGAACTTTCTAGTAAAAATGGGGGCAGAGGTGGCAGGGTAGCTAGGATCTTCTACAGGGGATATTTGTTAAGTTTGATTTAAAAAAAATGTTGTTAGCATCATCTCTTTATGACCTGTAACCCTTGTCACTGTCCTTGGTTAACTTTTTAATCTTATTCGGTTTGCTTTGTTTTATTTTGTTTATATCAAGTTACATTTGAAAAACAAGAGTTGTGTCCTTTATATGTGTTCCTATCATCCGTATGTGATGTTGAACGGCTTAAGTATGAGAGAAAACTAGATGTAACAGGATTCTATTCTTTACCAGTGGTTCTCCTTCCTAAGGCTGCAACCCTTTTATATAGTTTCTCATCTTGTGGTGACCCCAACCATAAAATTACTTTAATTATAACTTCGTAAGTGTAATTTTGTTAGTTATGAATTATGATGTAAATGATTTTGGAGATGCAGATTTGCCAAAGGGCTCATGACCCACAGGTTCAGAACCACTGCTTTGAAAAGTCAAAACCAAGCCAGAACCAATAAATGTTTCCAAAATCCTATATCACTTATCTGCATCTTCATAAAAAAAATCAACAGGGACCAAATATGAAAAATTAGTGTTACAGTAACCATTGCTTTTAATGCTCATTTGATCACATTCCTAGTTTATCATTCTTTGTATATTTCAAACTTAACATCAGAAGTGCTTGCTTCTTAGAAAATGTAAAAGTTGCACACTGTCCTTTTATCTACTCTGAGGTTTTTTTTTTTTAAAGGCAATGACAGAAAGGTTTGTTCTCTTTTTTAGTTTAATATGCTACCTACAACCATTTCGTATGGCTCCATAATTTAATCATTTTACAAGGCTACACAAACTGCCTATAAGCACATTAGAAACACTGAAGCCAGTACACCTACAGCATGCTCTGAGCTAATTGGCTGCTTGGTCTTTTATGTCACAATGGCCTCATGCAACAGTAAGCAGTATCTAAAGTTACAGTAGTGAGACAGGGATTTCTTTACTATCCAAAGTTTTTCTCTCTAATAAAACATCTGAAACTCAAGACATCTTTAGAAAGCTCTTGCTAAAACATGTTGGAAGACAGCGTATCTTATTTCCACCTGGAAGATATTTTTTCCTTCCTCGTTCTGAATTGATTGTCAACAGATGTGGCAGCCGTGCCTGTTGGTTGGGTTGGCTCTTAAAGTCATTCGTCAAAGACAGAGATGAATCCTCTTCAGACTGGTACTTGGCAAAACCACGCTCCATCTTTCTGGCTTCTGAAATTCAGTTTTATCTGGCTTGTCAGTCAGAACTGTTGTACAGCAAGTGCAGTTTGGACTGCGTACATGAACATATCATTTCACGTGGGGAACCGCATGCTGTCAGAGCTGGGGGAGACCGGGGTCTTCGGAAGAAGCTCCATTTTGAAGAGAGTAGCAGGAGTCGTTGTGCCACCAGAGGGAAAAATTCAAAATGCTTGTGATCCCAATACCAGTTTCATCCTGCCACGGAACAAAGAGCCGTGGATTGCACTCATTGAGCGGGGAGGTTGTGCCTTCACACAGAAAATTAAGGTGGCATCTGAGAATGGAGCCAGAGGAGTGATCATCTATAACTTTCCAGGTACCGGCAACCAGGTTTTCCCCATGTCTCACCAGGCATTTGAAGACATCGTTGTAGTTATGATTGGTAACGTCAAAGGTATGGAAATTTTGCATTTGATTCGGAAGGGAGTTCATGTCACAGTCATGGTTGAGGTGGGAAGAAAACATATCATTTGGCTGAATCACTATTTTGTCTCCTTTATGATTGTCACAACTGCCACATTAGCATATTTCACCTTTTATCATATTCGGAGACTTTGGGTGGCAAGGATTGAGGACAGGAGATGGAAGAGATTAACAAGAGAGCTCAAGAAAGCTTTTGGGCAGCTGCAAGTTCGAATATTAAAAGAAGGGGATGAGGAAGTAAATCCAAATGCAGATAGCTGTGTCATCTGCTTTGAAGCCTATAAGCCTAATGAAATAGTTCGTATTCTCACTTGCAAACATTTTTTCCATAAGAATTGCGTTGACCCCTGGATTCTAGCCCATGGCACATGCCCCATGTGCAAATGTGACATTCTGAAAGCTCTGGGGATTCAGATGGACATTGAGGATGGAACAGACTCTCTGCAAATTCTGATGTCAAATGAATTGCCTGGAACCTTTTCACCTATGGAAGAAGAGACAAATAATGAACTTCCTCCTGCAAGAACTTCAAGTAAAGTGACCCACGTGCAGGAGGAGCACCCTACTTCTGTGAACGCTGGCAGCCAGCCTCCTGAAGCAGAGGAAACCGGTCATCCTTCACTTGGACAGCGTGACCTTTGAGCAAGTGGATTAAACCTGTTTGTCAAATCAAGTCCTCATGATGACAAGCAGTTTGCTTGAAGTGTGGTTTTTGTGTGTGTGTCATTTCCTGTCACTCTGCTAATTTTCCAAATTCACTGTCAAGCTTCAAATACAGGGGAAAGAAAACCTGGCAGAATTTTGTGGCTTTTTACCTCTGCTAATTTTAAGTTTTTGTGAATGTATTCTTGATAGTGTACCTGTGTTTATTTCTAGTTAACCTGTGTTAAAACGAGAAACAAATTTACCCGCTAAATTGTGCTTATCTGTTTATACCTGGTTTTATTTTGGTAAAAATTTTATTAATATATATTTATATTTTTCTTAAAAGAAGCCATTAGTT